AGAGAGAAGGAGGAAGAGTTCGCCGGAACAAGCTGCTCCTGCTGCTGGAAAGACATTAAACCCTTGGGATCGAATTTCAGGACCTGGTCGGCTTGTTTCAGTGAAGCTGAAACATCGAGCAGAGCGGAGGAGGAGCGAGAAAGCTCCGGCGAACTGCGGCATGATGTGAAGGGCAAGAAGAGAGAGAAAATGAAGATGGTGAACACAGGTAGCACCATCGTTGGGGGAAATTTGCAGTGGAGAAAGCAGAGTTTAAGAGTTGGGTTTAAAAAGGAAGTGAGGTTTTAAATTGGGAAGATGGTTGTGTTTGGTTTGGGGTTGGAGGCAACCCACTGCTCCTAGTTGCCATTATCTGCTTTTCAGAAGGAAAAAAAATCAAATTTTTATCTATAATTCATAATTACTATTAATATATATCTATATAACTTTGCAACAGAATTGATTTGATTTGATTTGAAAAATGTTGTTTTTGATGCAAAATACATGAGTTTGAAGAAAATTACATTACAAATTGTAGCCAGAAGGTACATATGTTGTCAATAATAAATGTCACCTACATCACATCGTCACATGGATGTAGGTTATGACTCTATTGGAAGGAACGGTTTTGGCGTTTGGTTGAATAAATTTATTTCTTTTATATATAAGTGTTAAGATTATAGAAGTTATATAATAGTCAACCTGAGCCATCGTGAGTTGGAATCTACGTTTCATTTGTTGTACTAAAAAAAATTATACAGTAATATAGTTGAAAATTATAAGCAAAGTTGGTGACAAGTTAACAAAATTCACACACCATATAGAATCCATAATGGAAAAATTTTGGTATGTTTGTTCACCTACTAAAATATGGTAGAAAAGTCTTTATGATTTTTTTAAAGTAAATTTGTCTTGGAAAGAAAATAATGGCAGTAGAGGTTGGATCTACCTGCAGCAATTGAAGAGCAGTCCTCCAAGTTGAGTTCTGCAAGAGTTAATGCAGCCCATTTAGAGTTAATGCAGCAATTGTGACCCCAAATTTCTTCTTCCCGTCGGGAAAGATTAGAAAATGTGTAACATCGGTTGTACTTGATTCGACTAGATTAGAGAAGATAATGTAAAGACTAATCATGCATTCCACCACTCCCAAGTAGCTCATTTTCCTACAAAACATTGTTTCTCTCACAGAAGTCTCAATCTATATCAAACATAGTTATTGTACATTGGACATATTCACTTAAATACGTCCCACCAAGTCAAAGATAGATTCCACTATATGCTTGCATTCACAAGTGCACAAAAAAACCACATGGAAGTCGAGTAACAAAAAATCCAATGAGAAAAACAAACACGTACAACTCATAATATATACAAACTGACTAGTGAAACCAGAGTGAAAATCGTATTCGTAAACTGAAGTTTATTTCTTTACGGAGTGTCTCTATTTATGTACATAGGTGCAACTTGCAATAATATTGTAGCAGTTGAGGACATGCGATTTTAATAATATAGCTGATAATTAAGAGGCAAAAGAGTACATTACATAGTCTATGTTTCCTATTCAACAACCATCACTCGCAGGCTCGATTGAACTTAGAAGACCGTTGCCTCTCAGCTGCATACAGTGATCTTCTGCATCCACTTGAGCGCAGATAATTACCACTGACATCCCGTTGTAATGTGCCTCCTGCATTATGTTGACTGCATTGTCAAGGGTCATTCCAGGGATCACCTTCATCAGAACTTGCACAACGTATTCCCGCTTATTGTAATTGTCGTTATGTAGCAGCACTCGATACGGCGGGGCAGTTTTCCTTGATTTCCTGAAGATCAAAATTATTTTGGAAGATGGACCTTCAATAATGCATACAGATCTTTAGTTGCTTATATGTGACATTCAAAGAACCGTTTTATACCTAACGTCAAACTCAGATTCACGACCAGGTGTTGTCTTCTCTATGGTTGGCTTTTCCAACAACCCCCCACCTTTTCCGAGCTCAGCAACTGATAACATCATTAAGGTGCTCCGGTTTCTACATTGTTTATGAAAATAGTATTTATCCCCTATGACACAAATAGCCATTATAAATGGGTAACACTATAGAAACATGTCATGCAAATTCCAACAAACAATAAAATGAACAGCCTTCACACCTTTGCAGGTAATAGCAAATGTACGTTGATTATGGAAATTGCAACCCAAAGCTGACCCAGGTCCATGTGAGCTCATTGATCGATAGATATACTCCTAAGGTCATTTTTGGCTATTTGTCAGATTACATGGTAGAAGTTCTTATGTAGTTTTGTGATTGTTTTGAAATTATTTTGTAATTCTGTCTTGTTTCCTCCTTTTTGTTTTTATAAAGGTTTCTTATCCAATATATATATATATATATGCTAGAAGTTCTGAGTTAAAATCAGACTAGGCTCAAAACTCTTAACAATCTCAGTTTATGGACCAGCCATCAGTTTGTTGTCCAAGATTATCCAAGAATATTAAACTTTAAAATGGGCAGTACTGTTTAACTTAAACTAGAAATTAAAAGGTTTCTTGTGCAATTTTACCTCTTAAGATGGACCCCTTTTTTGTGGAGAACTCCTTCCGGACGATTCACCAAATATGTTCACAAATTAGTCTTTCTTTTGAAGAGTTTATATAACAGTTGTTCCAAGTACTACCAAACTCAGCATTTTAAACTTAAGCCATCATAATTTTAGTCTTGGATGCAACGTAGGTTGCATTAGTATAAGACCCAGTGTATATATTTACATAAATAAATACCAAGAAGTCAAATCATCAATAGACCACGTATAAACAACAATCATATAAAATTTGAGCTTAAACAACATTTATGGATAATCTATGTCTTCTTACGTAAAATAGCTAACTTTTCCAAAAAATTACATCCAAACTTCATTAATATCCAGTTTGGGTCCACACCATTGCACATTTAAACTCTCACTCTGTTTCTAATGAAAAATATTTGCTAATAAGCAACTCTAGTAAATTCTGGAATTTATATCATCGTTCTAAGACTCTCTGCAATAACATGGATATAAATAAAAGAAAAAGAGTAGAAGATCAGCTGTTTAAGCTGTTAAATTGGTAGCTAAACTATACCTTTCTACATGATATTCATTTTGATCATTCAACTTCTAAAAGTTTTACTTGGTCATTGAGCTTTCTATATCCATATAGTCTGAGATATTAATTCACCATAGTAGAAATGTTGAAATGTTATATATTATATGAAAAACCAGACTTTTGTAGAGAAAATGAAAGGAAATACAAGCGGGCATACAAAAAACCAGCCCAAGCCAAAGGTGCCTAGACAGAAGGCAACAAGAAAGGGCTTTTAAAATGTTAATATGAAGTATTTACAAGACGCTAAGTTTAGTCCTTGCTTTTTAGGTTGTATTGGAGAGGATTCAGCTTCAAGAACAAGATCGACAAAACAAAAATAGAAAAATATGAAAAACTGTCCCACCTATCGATGCAATACAATAGCTCAGAGCTAGCTATGTGGTTCTACACACAAAAAGAAAAACAAAAAACAAAAAACAAAGCAAGAACCGAAAAAAAAAAACAAAAGAATCTCCCGAGAGTTATATCAAGTGGTCAATAGAACTTGGAAAAGTTATATCAAATATAAAGGCTCTAAAGCGGCTTATTTCTTTGGTCAATAAGATCCAAAAGGTTTCTCGATCCCAGGGGGTGGAGATCCATAATAGACATATATAAGTTCTAGTACGCCAAGTAACATCATACATATATTTGTGTATACCAAATAGTTTTTGAAATGTTAGTACGAAATATTTACAAGATGCTAAGTTTGGTCGTCGTTACTTCAAGAGATTAAGAATTTTAAGTTATTAAACTTTTAACCCAGAGGCTTGAACTTAGAACTTTGGAGGATATCACCAAACATCCCAAGTCCTTGTTGTATATATTGTTCCTATATATTAATGCTACTCCATGACAAGTTACAGAAATCTAGAGTTATGTGAATGCCATGTACTCATGTCACGTAAACAAGATTTCACTAAACTATCGTGTAAGCATTTTACTACAGCACCATACAAAAGCTTGAGATCATCCTCTGCAGTTGAATTTGGTTTCATTTTTAGTTTTCCCCCATAATGCACCACTTTGTTTCCCAATTCGAGAAAAATAAAATTCACACAATCTGGAAAACGATATTCAGACTAAGGAGCCAGAAGCTTCTATCTCCACAAAGCCATGAATTGTGTAAAATATTCAACAAGGAAGCGAAATTTGTCAAGATAAACGAAGAACCCACAGTGAAACCAAGAGAATGGCAGGGCAATTGATAAACGAAGAGAATTAAGAGGCGCAATTGAAAATTCCGTAGAACCCTGAATACCTGGTCTCGTTTGATTGAAGAAGTGGTTGGGTGAAAGAGGTACTCGACCGCAAATTGCAGCTTCCATAGCCTCTCTCCGTGTGGTTGAAGGAATGAAGAGTGATTTGGGGCAGCAGGTTCCAAAAAAAATGTAAACGAGCAGCGACTCCACTGAGTGGTTTCTCTTCGCTATGTGACATTCACTCTCGCGATCTTTTCGGGAGGGTAGTGGCTGATGAATCTCCGTTTCTCGTCTCCTCTCAGCCATTCGTCCTTTTACGACGTCGTTATGCGCGCCAAATCCAAATCGTCCGCTCAATTTTTCGGTACAATATCCAAAAATCTCACCCACCCAACTATACTCTCAAGTCCCATCTTCTATGAATAAATAAATTATGTATTATAAAAAATTATATATTATAGATAAAAAGATAGGCCGGACTCTAATTTTTATTTTTATTTTTAGTACAACAATTTAAGGTGAGATGTTCGATCTCATAATCTCTTGGTCAAAGATGAGTACCAATTAGCACTGAACTCGTGTTGACGATCCTGAAGTTTTATAAGTATGGGACTTCGTTATCTGAAATTCAAAATAATTTTATCTCTTTTCTCTAATATTATAATGTATTTAGTCGTAGATAACTTATATATAATTCATTCATTTTATTATTAAAATAAGAGTATAAATTGATAAATTTATAATAGTTAAAGCATATTTTTTGGACCAATAAGTTAGGGAAAAAATACTTTTATAACGAAATATCTTGAATTTTGTTTGTGACTTCTGGTACATTCGTTTTTAAATTAAATTGAATTAAAAAAAAAGTGGAATGTTGAACACAAGATGTTTTTTCTTATTGCATTATAGTAAAATGATTCCTAATAAGTAATAAGTTGTTGTCTTTTTTTAATATCAAGTAATAAGTCGTTAGATATTAGTGTGTGTGCGTATAACTTCAAAATGTTGTCCTCCAATTGTTTAGTTTTTTGTTTTTCGGATAAATTTTGATCTCTGGCTTGTAATGCTTAAAAAAATGTCAACAGAATTTTAAATTAATTTAACAATATACCTAATGATTGATATTTAATGTCTTTAAGCTCTTAGGTTTTGATTTGTATAGATACACGTTTTCATACCATTTTTCTCCCCGACAATAACATTTAGGAGTATAAATTTCAACCTTTAACATTTTGATTAATGACATTGATTCCACAAGTCGTTAAACCAAAAAAATAAAAAAGAACAATGATAGACCAAAAATTATTAAGAAATTGATACCTTCATATATTTTGTTGTCGTTTTATTTTAGACTAAATATACAAGATGATCCCTAATCTTTAAGGTAATTCTCAACCCAGTCTTTAATGTTTTTAAATGATTAATTTCACACTTATGTATTAAAAATCATCAATTAAGTCATTATATGAAAAATTTGTCAAAATAAGTATATCTCAACAATTTAGCATATATCTCCCATCAAGATTGTGTGTCCAATCCTCCACCTTCACATGTAAAAAAAATGCAAACAAAGAATTAGTATAGCATAAAATAACTATTATATATATTAATATATTTAGATACGTAAATGTGTTATGCTACACGATACATAAAATTCTAACCTACTTATTATACAGATGAAATATATTTCTTTCGAGTGAGGTGTTTAAATAGTATGATTATGTGCTTAAATATGTAATTATTATAATAATTTAATAATACCGTTTTCTGTTAATAAATTTTAACATTTTTTGTACCTAATGACTTAATTAATAATTTTGTATACGTTAAAAGACGATGAAAATTGTCTCAAACATCAGAAACTATTTCCTATATTTAATCTTTATTTTATTTAAAAATTTATTATTATTATTATTATTCTTTCGAAATAATCAGACAAAACGACAACAACATCATTTGAGCGGTTCAATAGTTTTCCTTCTCATTTAATTTTTGGAAAAAAAAAATAATGGAAAAACGTAGTTGGGAAAATGACAGATGCACCATATGATATGTAAGAATGCCCTTTAAAACTCCCAAGATGACTTAAGAAAAACTTTAAAATTACGAATAATGTTTAATATTTATTGCATACCGCTATAATGTATTCAAGTTTGAAAATTGACCGGGGCGAAAGTTGGGAGGCTAGGGAAAAAAAAAGACAAAAATATCTAAAGGGAAGTGCTATTTTATTCAAATTAATTATATTGATTTATAGGTAAAATAAAAAAGATATCGAATGAATTGAATTAAATTGTAAGATATTGTGTACATTTAAGAAATGCCATAGCATCTGACAATAGAATTATTGTTCTGTCAAATATCGGTAGATATTTTACTAGGTGAAAATTTTTAGTCGAGCTAAATTCTTTATCACGAGTCTTTTTTCCTTTTTCTTTTTTTTAGTACCTACAAACCGAGGCTTGAATACACGTGTCCAACCAAGAAAAAAAAGCCATGCGCTGGATTTTATCACATAACCATATTTAACCTAAAAGCAAGTTGATTTTTTTTTTCATTTGCTTCTAAAAATCTTTAACTATTTTTTATTATCAACAAATTTCAAAAAAGCATTTTCAATGAGTTAAAGCTCTTTGATCGCTCTTTAACTAAAAGACTACCATTACACGTTATTTAACATGTGTCAAGACTTAAGACACAGAGTTTTATTACTAAAAAGAAAGGTTATTCAGGGAGTCCCACAGGTCGGTCCAATAGCATCCGAGTCGTGGAAATCTGATCTGACCGCACCACAATGAACGGTCTAGATTAGGGTGGAGGGCACGTGTGTCGAAAAGCAGATTAGGGAGAATCCACGTCAGAAATACGTGTATTTAATCGGAAAGGATCGAGGTGGAGAGGGAGGGACACGTCAGCTGTTTCCTCCCCAGAAGCTCACACGCGGGGGAATTCTTCTGCCTGACATAGCCACCGGCCCAAGAATAACCGACTTCCATTGTACGTCAAGAATCGCCGTTGTTTTATTGTATCACTATAATCAATTCAACCCGATAATTTCTCTCTCTCTCTCTCTTCCCTAATTTCCTTCTACAGGTTTTCCGGTTCTTTCTCCGATTCGTGTCTAAATTTACGCCTCGATTTGGGTCTGGATATTGTTTATCTCTCTCTTTCTCCGATTCCGTAAATTTTTTCGGATCGGGAAGAGATACTACAAGAAGCTTAATAAATGATTCAAGGTTTTGTTGACGATGTGCTTGCTGTTACCAAAGAGTGAGTCCCTCTTTCTTCCGCTTTCCGTCGGCGTTCCTGATTAACTTTCTTTCAGCTAATGGGGATTTTCCTTTTGTTTTATCGTTTTTTTGGCGGTTGATGATGTATGTTATTTGCGGAATCGAGCAAGATAATTTTGATAATCTCATTCTCATCACATAATATAAATGTTGGATGCTTATTTCGAATATTGCAATGGATTAAGCAAATTCGTGCTGTTTTCCTTGAGGAACTGGGATTTTGTTGGATCTTGCCGTAAACTTCTATCCCTTGTTTCCCCATTTGTTCATGTTGTCCTTTTTCTTAATCCCTATGCTCTTCATTTGTATTTTTATGTCAATGGAGAAATACGCAACTCTTCTTGATTGCTGAAGTTTTTCGACCTTTTTGTGGCCAGTTGTAATACATTTGTAACTTGCGTCTAAGAACTTCTTTTTCGTTGCCCAATTTGTTATTTGTTTCAATTTCCCTTGAGGCTTTTGTTTCTTACTAGTTGAGCTTATTTCCTTGCAGAAGTGACTTCATTCCTATTTTATTTTATTTTTTAGTGCAGGTCGGTGAAGACACTCACGTACGAGTCCTTGAATAATGTTGTGAGGCTGATCAACGGATTATCTGCACTTCTGCTGACTATTTTACCAGGGAGAGGTTCCGTACTAGAAGGTTATGGCTGGGAGCTCAGACCAACCTTTCGAGGACCTCGTTTTCCCCGCTGGATGGAAAAGTATGTCGATTGACCTGAATTCTACGACGTTTTGGTGTCCAAAATAATCTTTCATAATAGATTTCGCTGCATGCTTTTAAATTCACTTTTAATCGTTAGGAATGTCCAGGTTATCATGATACTCACACACGCGATAGACTTGGAAATCTTTATGGTTTATCCTTTCCGTGACTAGGATAAGCAGTAAAAGGTTGCTATTGTGCATTAACTCATGCCTTAAAAGTATCGAAGTCATATTTCAGCACACTTTTTATTTATTTTTCTGTGAAAAAAGTTGTGCTTCGACTCACGGTATTCGTTTGTCCTTTTAGTGACGAGGATAAGCAGGGACAGATTTACCTTACTTGTAACCGTAATGCAAAGAAATTTGAAAGGGACCCCTGCTACTGATTCATTCGTACTTTTAAAAAATATCAATCCTAAATTTTGTGCAGGGCAAGTTTGGGATTGCTATAGAGTTTAGTCTCTGAAAAGGTGAGTGGGATATAGGATGAATAAGGCCACAGGAGGATGGGAAACACAAGTAGTCAAAATCGAGGATTGGAGAGGCAGAGATTTACCTATGGAAAAGTTAGATAGAGCATATGAGGCGTTAAATTTTGTGTTTTTCATACTTACGTTAAATTGTAGTTTTAACTGTTGAGACAATGTTGGAGCCATGAAGTTTGGAATAGTATCGTGAGTACATGAGTCATTGAGTCCACAATTGCACATTTTTTTCGTGGGAAAAAGTTATTTCCTTCATAGTTCAATATTCTCTCTAGATCAATCTTTTTTTAAAAAAAAAGGGAAAAGAAGAAAGTGTGATATTGTTTCACCTATTGAAACATGCCCGTTAGCCACTCCACATTCCAGCGTGGTTCTTTCCCAATAGAAAACAGCCTTTGTATCCTCATGGCTGGTGGGTTTTATGTTCTGTATACGACCCTGCTGCTCTATTTTTGCGTGTAATGTCAATACCTCATTTTCCCTTGATTTAAATTCGCCATTTCAGATGTAATGAGTAATTCTTCAATGCGTTCCTTTCCTTTCCTTTTATCCTCATTGCCATAGGATAGAACTGCATTGCATTTTATATTTATGCTCTTTGGGCAAATAAGTGGTTGACATGTTTTCTTCCTGTGGTGCATAGTGGTGTGTCCTCTTTCAACCAGTTCATTCACGAGCTTTCAGTGGATTCCGACGAGTCGAGCTTAGATTATTCCTCCGGGGAGGAAGATACTTTTGCAAATGCAAATGAGTATCCTGCATCACCATCATCTCACAGTTCTCGGGGCTCCAGGTCCAGGGCTAGTGTTCATGTCAAGAATGTTTGGCACTGGACAGAAAGGATCAAAGGCATCTTTCTTTGGATTCTTTTACCTGCAAAATTTCTATTGGGGATTCCATTTCGTATTTGTCACTTTTTTTTCATTAAATGGGCTGGGTCCTCATCCATACCTGGAAGTCCTTGGCCCTCAATTAAGAGGGTGCATAGCCATAAGGACCATGTTGTTCATCGCACCACTGACCGGAGACGTGGAGTTATTGAGGTTTCTCCTTTACTGCTACTAGTATTTTCTGGTTTTCCCACCTTTGACTTCAGTTAATACTAGGAAACGTTGTGCTGATAGGATACATTTGGATATGCTTTATTTGGCCTGACTTCTATTTTTTAATTTCTCTTTCTTTCCTTGTTAATCAGGATCTTCATCTTGCAAGTGAAATCTTTATTGAATCTGTCTTCGATATGGTCCATAAGGCTGCACATTTTATTCTCTCGCCATTAGATGCATTCAGAACTCTGTTCAGATGGTTTTGTTCTTGGAGTGGTTGTGAGAGAGATGATGATGGTATTGGTTCAGATGTCATTGTGCCTACAGCTACCCTTGGAGATGATGACCCTGTGCCTAGTGAAAGGAGTTACACCTTTCATCAGTCACTAAATACAGATGCCAGAACGTGCCAAGATGTTATATCCGAGCTTGGGTAAGACTAGCATTGGTGGCTTCTCAAGGGTTTATCCTCTACCACTTTCTTCCTATCCTCTAGGTATCAGCATGAAGCTATTAGTTTCTCATCCTCCTATCTTTCTTCCTATCCTAGGTATCCATATGAAGCTATTCGTGTTGTGACTAATGATGGATATGTTCTTCTTCTTGAAAGAATCCCTAGGTACAATACTAGCTAATTTATTCTTTGCCTATTTGGATTTTTTTTTTTTTTTTTTTTGGGGTCTGAACGTTATGTGGCAAATGCTTGTACTGTTATTTGCAGGCGTGATGCTCGTAAAGCTCTTTATCTGCAGCATGGATTATTTGATTCGTCCATGGGGTGAGGTTTCCTCTCCCATTTCTTACCGGTTTCTGTTTTGCAGCTGTACATAGTCTGATAGTTTAATCTGTGATTTAGGACAGATAGGGAATACATCCTGACTTATTTGATTAGGGTCAAGGACATCTTTAAATTTATATACAGGCAACGAACTGACAACATAGTTACAAAAATTTGATCCCTGATAATACAAAAGAACATCTTATGGATAAGGAGATAGGATTGTTACTCATATACAATGTCTGTTAAGATCTGATTCTTGAACTACTCCCCCACCACCTAACCCCGGCACCCACACAAAAAGCACTAAAACAAGGTTGAACTCATTATTCTTTTTTATTCCTAGTTGGGAGAGGTGGGGAAGTTCAAGCCTACATCTGTTCTCTAATTATAATAATTCTTTTTTCTGCTTAGTTGGGTGTCAAATGGGGTTGTCGGGTCGCCAGCTTTTGCAGCTTTTGATCAAGGTATGTTTCTTTTTCCTCTGAAGTTCAAGCCTCGAGCCTTCGGCGATGACGCATTAGGCTTCGTTCATCTACTAATTAGTTTTCTTTTCCAGGGTATGATGTTTACCTCGGGAATTTTCGTGGGTTGGTCTCCAGAGAACATATTGATAAGAATATATCTTCAAGACAGTAAGTATTTGCGTTTTTCACTTTTCTACATATCTTCAATTCATTTAACAAACTAATCCGCATCATGAGAAATTCGGAGGTTTGATAATGTGGAGGCTTTATGTCCTCATGCGTCGGGAATAAAATATTTTACTTACTGATGTTACAAACTATCCAGGTACTGGAAATATTCCATGAATGAACATGCCATGGAGGACATTCCAGCGATGATTGAAAAAATTAATGACGTTAAGACTTCTGAATTGAAGCTCAGCCAACCTGAACTTGCAGAAGAAACCGACAATGATCAGCCATTCAAGCTTTGCGCTCTGTGCCACAGCATGGGAGGGGCTGCTATGTTGATGTATGTTATAACAAGGAGGATTGAAGAAAAGCCACATAGATTATCCAGATTGGTCTTATTATCTCCTGCTGGATTCCATGACGATGCCCCATTTATTTTCACAATAGTCGAGAATCTCTTACTTCTGTCAGCTCCAATTTTAGCTCCATTTGTGCCTGGCTTGTACATACCCACCAGATTTTTCCGTATGCTTCTCAACAAGTTGGCTCGTGACTTCCATCACTACCCTGCGGTTGGAGGGTTGGTTCAAACCGTCGTGAGTTACTTTGTTGGTGGGGACAGCTCAAATTGGGTTGGAGTACTGGGAACACCGCACTATAACATGAATGATATGCCTGGAGTTGCATTTCGAGTAGGCGTGCATATTGCTCAGATGAAGCATGCCAAGAAGTTTAGAATGTTCGATTATGGAAATGCATCTGCCAACATGGAAGCCTACGGATCGCCAGAGCCATTGGACTTGGGTGAATACTTCGGGCTTATTGATATCCCTGTAGATTTAGTTGCTGGGCGGAAGGACCAAGTGATAAGACCAACAATGGTGAAAAGGTACTATAAAATGATGAAGGATGCAGGTGTTTGTGTATCATTCAACGAATTCGAATACGCGCATCTGGACTTCACATTCTCGCACCGGGAGGAGCTCTTGGCTTATGTAATGTCTCGTTTGCTCCTGGTCAACGAGCCCGGTGGAACAGAACCCAAACCAAAACCGAAGTCGAAGCCTTTTCCAAAATTGAGACCAAGAGAGAACTTGGATGGCTAGCTTACAGAACACCTCAAGAACCCACTTTCTTAAGTTTCCAGGATGTGGCAAGCAGAACAGGAGAATGAGAATGTCTTTATAGAGTTTGTATATTTTCGGTTAAGCGTCACCCAGTCATGGATTTGGTCATCGTCCCATCAAATTTTTTAGGAGGGAATGTATTGCTATTGACGGTGATCTTCTCTGAACTAAATTATGTTCTTGATTTCTGTGTGCTTATAGAAGATTACGGACGTTGGTTATGATCTGTAGCCTGTAATTTAAATAATGTATTGTTCATATATATTAGTGGAAGTTGAAATCGTAGGCATCAAATAAATACATGCTATATCTGTTACGTCTCATTTCTCTTCTATACTTCAAAATTGAGTTTTTTTCTTCAATATCTTTTAACTGTTGATGTGTTGTTTCATTATATTGTATATTCCTCACAAACAATATTCGAATTCTAGAAAAATATAGAAAGATATCTAATATTTGGTGAACGAAGAAATCGAGATAACCAATCCACGCGCGGTTTGTTCTGTTTTATTTTCTCCACCATGTGAAATGTAATGACGCCAAATTTCGTAGACAATTAGTAAATTGTTCGAACAGTAGATGGAATACACTTTTATCATCGCCCACGGTCCGTTTTCCTTCTTTTCGTTTTTCTCGTATTTCTGAATTAATTTGGAAAGTTCTCTACCTCCTTGTACTCCTACTTCTGTTGGATTATTTGTTACTGCAGCTGATTCAAGGTCTTATCTGAAGTTTCTGGAGACGGAATTTTTTCTTGTTTGATATGGGGCAGACTGATGGATGCTTTACAAGAATATGCGATAAGAGGTACCTGACCATTGTCCTTTTTACTTTGAAATGATTGTGTTTTCGATTTTCTGTTTTATGTGGTATAGAAAATGGCAACTGTACGAAACTTGCCCTCTCTTCCTTCCAAGTGTGACGAAATAGTTTCATGATGTTATGAGTATCAACTCTATTTAATTTCATGGTGATGGTTCTAGTTGTCGTGTTTTAGCTAGCCTTTTATGCAATTGGTTTGCCATGATGGCTCTTCAATTTACTTTCACTTTTACTGACGTTCTCCTTTTCTCATTTCTCAATCAATTTAGATAAAAAGGCTGGTAAAGCACAATTTTGCCTGTGGGCTTGTGATTAGTGCTTGATTTTGATTTCTTGGCTCAAAACTGTTGGGAAATATCTATATTTTTCAGTTATGTTTCTTAATGGTCTCTTTGATCGTTAGTCTGATTCAATCCCTTCTTCTCCACCTTGTTGTGGAGGAGGGACTTCATTGTGAGATATTCCCACCCCAAAGGAATGTTATCTCTCCCCTTCAAATGGAAACTTTCTCTAGTGACCACTGTAGAGGGAGAGGGAGGAGAGAGATTATAAATAAATGGATTCCAGAGAGATAATATGATTTGCCATGCATCTATTTTAGTGAGATTACCGTACAGGGAAAGGTGCAGAGACAGTTGAGGATGATGATATGATTTGCCATGCCATCTATTTTACAGTACGTGTCTTCTTCCACGCCATTCCTTTAAAGGACACTTAAATTTGAAGGACGAATTATGTATAAATGAAATAAAAAAGGTACTCCTATTGATTTTGAACAAGGGACAAAACTGTCAAAGTTTCACGGGTTGGGGTGTATTTTAGCCTAGAAGTTGAGTTAGTTATCTTGATTCAAATGTAGAGATCTTTGCAGTTCCGAGTATTCTAAGAGGGCGTAGCTAAGCTGGACAGAAATCTTGAAAATAAAACGTATTATAATTTCCACTGGAAAATCTTTTTTCACCTGTTGGTGTACATAATGACATGTAAAACTTTGTTAGGAAATAATTCTTCAAGCTCTTGTAAGGTTGACAATGATGACTAGAGGAGTTGCTCCTACACGGAGAATAACTTCTGAAACTATTTCTAGAATTTAAGGCAGCATTGGAGAAAGGAGAATAACGATGTCTGCTCATTGCTATCAGATAAAGGAGTATTTGACAATGAGGCTCAGAATTTGAGAAAGAACTACAGTTCAAGGAGTTCAAAGCTGGTGTTCATGGAACTGATTGTGGAAGACTTGCATAATTGTAACTTTGGTAAAACCTTCAAAGGTCCACTTATTGATCTGTGACTGGTTTAGTTGCTCAGTCTAAGCATCATAATGGTTCTAATAGTGTGCTTACAAGGCTGAATTTGGCTTAGGGGGATAGATTGTGTGCTTATGAGTTGATTTTGAACACTGTTCGGTGTGTATAAAATCCTAGAAATAGGTATCCAATTTGATAACCTGATTCTATTTTAAGATTCAAAAGGGTGAAATAGAGTGAATTATATCTGCACCAGGTTCAGTAGTTTAAGTATTTCAAAAGTTAGTCATAATGAGCAAGAGAGCAAACAAGTATTAATTTGTACCATACAGTTATACCTGTTCATTGCCATGCATTGTTATTTTAAAGAAGCTCGTTATCTCTGCATTTGTTGCTTGCCTATGCTTCATGCCTTAGGTCCTTAACGCTCTCTGATATCAACATAACATCTCGTCTTTTACCCTAAAAAACTGCAACGACAACAAGCTGCCCTTGCCCATGTATCAGTGTTGCTATTAAGATATTATCTGTAGTTCAAATAATGTCGTCTTTTTAAAGATTCACGTCATACAAATGAATTGGTCTCATAGCCACTTGGTCCTTTTTGGGCTAAGTTTTTGAGGGTTGTGTCAAAATTTTCTTTAGTTCTTTGGTTGCAACGTTAAGAAATATATCCTCATCCTCAGAAAGATGTTCTAATAAATTGTTGGGAACAAACTGCTGCTGTTCACTTCAACAAAAATTGACGTGGTATAGAGATCTGAACAGTAAGCTACACATCTCTTCCCTCACGCTCCTCTTCCCCCTCAATTGGACGCTCCAACCACGGTTTTCATCTTCCTCGTATCCATTTTTTACTATCTTCAGCTGAAGATGCAGCTGAAGATGAGAGATCCGAATAATGATTTTAGAGACACCCATTTATAGGGATTTTGTATACTTAGTTGGAGGACTAGCCACCATTTTCAGAGGGGGTGTTGATTCAACATAGGGAGGGTGATGATCCAAATTTGCGTTTTTAGATCCTAAGTCTGGAAGAGCTTAAGTTTGAATATAAATTTTCTCTATGTTCGAACATTGATTTGAAAATGAGAGGGGATTGATTCAAAATCCCCACTATTTTTCTGAGTATTCATTGCTCTAGCGAGAATGAGGTGAGATAGATTTTCTTCTTTGGAAAGACGGAGAGATTTCCTTTTCTCAGCGAGACAGGGAGTTTGTTGACCTTCAGCATAAGAGAACAAATCATGGGAGAAGAAAGTGTTAGTAGAGAGAGAATAGGATAGCAGGGCCACAAACATTAAGGACTAGTAAAATTCTAGCCTGATATGCATTAATTATTAACACAAAAATTCATGTCACCGTTGCCATATCACTATCGTTAGTCTATTCTAAAGAATCATTTTAAAAATAGGGTTGATTGTTGTTGAACTCAAAAAAGAAAAAAAAAGACGAAGTTTTTGAAGTTTAGAGACAAAAAGAACCCCAACCCAATACTTATGGATTTCAAATGTAATTTCTCTTTTTCTTTCTTAAATGATTAAATAAGTTGCTAAAGACTTAGATTGATGTCTCCTATTTACATATGTTAGCTGACATCCTAGAAATAATTATTTTTATATTTAGGCATAATTCTTCAATGAGCATGAGTTGTTCTCTTGTTGTATTGGAATGCCGGAAAAACTGAAGGCTGGAGCATTGTACTTGTTCAACATAAAAGGGAGCGAGACCAACCAAGGACATCCATAAAGATGGTTTGAACTGAGATTGTTCCTTTCGAGTTTACTTGGTTATAGTACATGTTAATTTGAACCGACCAAGAAGATAGTAAAGTTACAGGGCCTGTGTGGCTTGCAGGAATTAAAGAAATAAGTACCTTCTTTTACCTTATTCGAAAATAAAGACATAAACATGGAATCATTTTAACCACGTAATTTGGAACTAATTTACATATCATGGGGCAGGGAAGTTAAAAGAATGAGAATGTTCTTCATTGTGCATATAATGTGTAAAAATAAATGGCAGTGTTTTTACCATTGATGTTATTATGGTACCTATTTATGTTGTCTCAAAGTTCAGAGAAGTCTTTCTTTGAAAGCAAACGGGGTTGCCAATCACTTTTGTATGTGGACCAAAAGCTTAGCTTTCAAATATGGACCGAGAAAAATCTCAGAGGGATGTACCACAGGTAATAAGCTTCTGTACAGGTTGGTCACACTTCTTATCTGGTGATAGGATGTGGATTGGGCATTGAGGTTGGATGGATACTGAAGCCATTGAAGAAAATCACGTGGTAGTAAAATCTTGACTTTAGCCGAAAGATCAAAATTAGTGATCCATATTTTCTGTATCTTGATTCTTAACAGGCATGAGCTGGATCAGCACAGCACACACTCTGGTGGCCTGCCTAGTCTCCAATCCTTTTTTCAATTCATGTCAGGTGCTTCCCTCCCCTCTCTCTGCCTTTTTTTCCCTGGTCAGATTAAGCACTTGAAATAGAATTGAATGATGCTAATGTTTCTCAACCGATTTGACTCGTCAACAAACACATGCACACAAAAGAAAAGTAGTCTAGCCATTTGTGTTCTTACTTCATTTTTAGATATTTCATGATGGCTTAAGATGTGGAGGCAATTTGGCCTTAGGTTATTATGTCGTCAAGAGAGATTATCAGTTTAAAATTCCCATGTCAATGAAGCTGCCAAAGAATGGAATTTTGAGGCAGGAGTTTCACTTTACTTATGTGGACCGACAGAGATTAGTGGCATTAATTTAAACATAGGTCATGGTTAAGAGTTTCTGAACCATTCATGTAGCTAAGGTTGTCTTTCCGTGTCAGACATTTGCCATGCCCACCCCCGTGAACTTCACGTGTATGTTTTTGAATTTCACGTGTACAATGTCTTTAGTGTGGCTTTTCCCTTTTAAGACAACTTACCCTGTAATCTGGGGGGCCCCCCCTCCCTTCCTTTTCTTTGGTTCTTTCTTGTGGAATCTGTATTGGAAGAAACACTTTGGCTTCCTCACCCACATGACTACTACCTCTCAGAGAACGCAAGAAAAAGCTCTGAACCTTTCCTCAGCTCTCTCTCACTCGGCAAAACGTCTCTGTGATTGAGGTTTTTTATTTTTAGTTGATGGGACCAAAAGCTCACTGATGAATCAAAAAGGTTATGGAGAATTGTTAGTTCATTAGTTATTTGTGAGTAAAATGGTGGGACCCCTGTGTTATTTGACGCCTTATGGTCATGGCCTTTGATTTTTGGATCATTTGGTTGGTCCAAGTTTGAGCTGATCTCATCCATCTTCATTCTTCCCCTTTAAGAACAGCCACTTTTCCTGCAGCTTCCATCACTTTCCCAGTGAATTTTTCTTTCCCATTCAAAGCAATACAACAAGAACCATGAAAGTGAGCCTAAAGCAGCACTAAGAATTACGATCTTGGGAAAGATTAATTGGTCCATGAAGAGGGAAGTTAAAGAGGAGATCATGGAGATTAAAAGTGCTTCTAAAATTGAGAATTCCAAGACAAAATCCTCATGTAGAGGAGCTGGAGGATTGGTGCGAGAAGGAAAAGGTAGGCTGTATATATTTGGCCGATGTGTTGCTATGCTTCTTTGCTGGCACGATTGAAGCAATTCATTGTATCAAAATCCCATGCATCTGTTTTTGTTAGTTCTTATCATTTCCTTTTTTTTGTTTACTTCTCTTTCTAGATCAATCTGTACATCTTATTGTAATCTTGTAAGATGAAGGTTCTGATTACTACAATATGTCACCCACATTGACCTATCTTCATAAAAAACATGGACACATTTTCATATTATAATTGGGACAATAATTTATATGATAAGAAAATCATGAGAATATTTGGAATGATTAATGAAATTCAGTTAAAATGAAGCTGAAGTAGACTTTGTAAGCTCATTTGATGTTGATGTTAAGATTGTTCCCAATCATTTGAGACAAGTTCGCCACTGTATGCTTAACCCCTTTAGAGCTAATATAACTAAAGTTGATAGTGATATAGATAAATAAAATTGGAGTGGGGATTTGAATTTCTGATTTTTTAGTCGAGAATATGTCTTTAATCAATTGAACTATGTTCGGACGAGGTCCAATTCAAGTCCAATATGACCCAACTACATTGGCTCGAGGGATATAGCTCAGTTGATAGAGGGATATAGCTCAGTTGATAGAGTTATACTTTTGCAATTGGGTCACTGTGACTACGGGTTGACAAATTGTGACATGAAAAGGCTATTGTATTAACATTTTCTGTATGTTATATTAGTTTAGGCCTAAAGGGTATTTTAGTAACAATATCTATATGTTACGTTGGGTTTAGTCCTTGGGGTTGTTTGGGCCTAGTACTGTCAAGCCCACTCCGATGGAAATGTACAATGCAAATTTGCCTGGATTTTTCTTGGATGAATGTCTGAAGCATATTAGCCCTAAGTAATTTAATTAGACTTAAAAAACAGAAAAGTGAAATATTTATAAAAATAACTATTTATATGTAGATTAAGCAAATCAATATTAAGTTATTAACAGTAGTAACTTGTATATCATATCAACCAATTTAACTTCTATATTAACTAGTAACTTTGAAAGAAAATTATAACAAAATTGAACGGTTAAGGTTTCAATGTCCATTATAACGTAATAATCTCTATCCTACTTCTAGCCCATCTGAATACAATTTAACTGATTAAGATATATATTATGGATAAAAAGGATTGTGGGTTCGAATCCACACCTCACGTGTTGTTTGTATACTTGAAAAAAAAATCTATATCTTAATGGAGATTAAATTTAACAATTGCTACTAACATGTGTTCATAGCTAAAATATAGTATGTAAATTAGGCTTAATCGTAATAAGAAATTAAAGTAGGGACGACTAAATAAATTGTATTAATGAGGGCTTAACTAATAAAAGATAGTGTAAGATGGTTCACACTTCGATTCACCAACTAAAAAGATAGAAAGTCAAATAGCTAACATTTTGATAAACTTTAATTTCAAATAGTATACCATATGTTTTGAACATAGACTAACTTTAATTATAAAACTAAACAAATATGTAATTAATTTTAAAAAGTTCATATATATATATATATATATATATATGTTTAATAATTGGTTCAATTTGCTGAATTAAAAAATCTTTGCACAATTCGCTTCTATGGACCTCTTTTTTTTCTTTTTTCTTTTTCTTATTTTTACCACGGAAATATATCACACTCAAAGAACTTTGGCTTCAACTTATCGAGATAGAAGTAGGCAAAAAAGAAGAGGTTCTTGGGATTGCGTGAACAAGTGAGGATCAAAAAAGTTATTTTTAGAGGAGAGACTGAATTTTGGGAAGTTTATTTTGAACGTTACCAAAGGCAAATTGTTGGTGGTATTTCAGTTAATAATATAGTTTCTGATTATTTCCTTCTTTAATCTTACACTTACATTGTTGCCCTCTTCGTCCTTTTTTCAGTTTAATCATACTTTATTCTATCCAAAAACATTAAAATTTTGGAGTATAATATTCATTCATAATTATTTCACCCTTAAATCTTATAATTAACCATTTAATCATCTAGTGAGGGAACAAAGTCACTGGAGGAGCTCGCGATTCCAGTGGCCCAGACAAATTCTTGTGGATTTCTTTCATTCTTATTTTTTGCATCTCAATTCAGTTGTAGGAGAAACATCCTGTAGATGCTATCTGTTGAATGTATGGCTCGAAAGAAATAATCGCTCTTTCTCGAATAGCTACGGATCATCCGTCAATCCCTGGAAAGATATAAAAATATCTCTGCCTTCTCTTAGTCTTCAAAATCCTTTATCTTTTTGTAACATTTCGTTAAATTGGATTGCGTTCACTTAGCTGTATATTTCTCGCATATATCTCTTTAACGAAAGAGTTTCTTATTTAAAAAAAAAAATTATTTAGTGTGTTTGAGTTTTTATATGTAATAATTAAATAGATCTTTTTCTTTCGAATTATCAAACTTTAATTATAGAAAAAAAATTCAATTAAAACCGTAGTTATTGAACCTTTTGATTGGAGGGTGAATTTATAAATAATCTTTTGTAATAATGACCTCTCCCCCACCTTTTTAAGTTGGAGTGCTTTCATTTAGCCTTCCATTGTTGTATGTTTCTCACACATGGCCTTTCGTGTTCATCTTAAAAAAAACTTTAGTTTTCAAACCCATCTTGTCGTTCTTCCTAAAGTTGCCACTTTCAATTTTGGCTTGAAAATTCCCTGATTTATTACATGGATGGTTAATTATGTTTAAATTAATATAAATAATCCATGTATATCCCATTGTTTTCTTTATGCAGTGTCGATTAGAGGGCGCTTAAATAAATAAGATATTTATTACCATTTTGTATAATCAAATGTT